AGTAATTTTCAGGTACTTTCTTCATGTATTCCATGCATGTTACAAAACGTTAGCAGATAAGCACATGATATTCCTAGGCCTTGCAAAGTTTGCCAACAGAGCGTGCAATGTAAACTATTGCCTTATGCGCTGTCATCTCTTATGTCTGTTATTCTGTTACAGAGTTACAAATGTTTACAGAGCTGTCAAATGTGTTACTGTATGTTGGCCTGCAACTAGCTTGTCTTATAAACTGAATAGTGCTTCTGAAGTTCTTCCATGGCAAAGACAGATGTTCTACTTCCCTGGTGGCATAATCTGAAATCTCTAGGAATGTATTTCAACAAGACCACTTAAAATGTGTTAACATTTAACATTGGAATATATGAAGCAGCTTTATAACTGTCTAGGTATCAGCAAAAAAATGACTTATTTTTTATTGTTAGTTTCTGTTGTCAATTGTTTGGAACAATTTTGAAATATTTCAACCTCAGTGTATATGTTAATAGTTCAGAGTTAAATATGTATTATTTTTTATTTGACTTTTTTTAAATAAAAGTGAAGCTTTGGTTACAGTTAGTGGTCATTGTGAACCTATTACACTTTTAAAAGATCAAAGAAGAGAGGCTGTACAGGAATGTTGTTGATAATTTGCTGTTTCTTCCTGGAGAGATCAGCACTCCACGAAATCTCTTGCTTCTACTTAACCATATATCATGATTCGTTTATTCCACCTTTGAGCTTATCAAACAAATTTTCAGTTACCATCTGGTGTCATAAGAAATACTAGTTTCGTAAGAACAGAAATGTTGCATCTTTATTGAATAATACTTTCTTGCAAATCTGACGTCTTGTTTCTTTTTATGTTTTCACAGAATCTTTTGTAATTAAGGGAGAAAATAATTTAATTGGTTTTATAATACATCCAGGTGGGGGCTGCACATTGGTGGTGGTAGTGGGATTCCCCATTACCTGTAAAGTGCTTTGAGTGAAGTGTCCAGAAAAGCGCTATATAAGTGTAAGCTATTATTATTATTATTATTATTATTATTATTATTATTTTTATACATCAGCAGTGATAAGGATCACTGGATGCTTTCTTTTAAACATGTACATTTTGCAAGAACAGTGTAGCATATCGCTGCCTTCTTTATCCTTCTGTTGTTACTCCTCTACATGGAATGGAGAACTAATTCAGTTGTTTAACAGAAGAGTGGAAAACGCAGCAAGCTGATCTTGAAAGACTGCTTTGGAGGCCACTGTTTTCTGAAGAACAGTGTTGTTAATATCTGTATAAGATATTTTATGGATAACCTTTTTTAGTTCGTGTTTTCTTTTTTTTTTCTAGGAAGCTATAGATGAGAAATTTGCTGCCATAGATGAAAAAGACAATGAGGTCCGTCAGCTCCACCTGTCTCTGCGCGAAAAGGAAAGAGACCTAGAGAGGCTCAGCAACCTGCTTTCTCACAACGAAGAAACTATCAATGTAAGTTGGGCGTTTAGTAGTAGAGAGGAAAAGTCTCTGTGGAAGGTGGAAGCATGTCATATTTTCTATGCATTTTTTTAAAGACACTTTTTAGACTGTAATTTTAAATTAAGGCATATAATTGTAAAGTCACATATAGTCTGTTACACTTCTCACTGTACTGATTGTATTGTATGTATTGTATTATTATTATTGTATCATTCGTTACACTGTTGCTGTGTTAAGCTGCTGTTGCACTGCAATGTCCCTCACGAATCAATAAAGTATCTATCTATCTTTTAAGAAAATAAAACAGGGAAGTTCCTAATCCATCAATAATAATAAAAAAGAGTTTTATGACATGTTTGCTTTTTTTATATTCGATATTATGTTGCTCTCTCTCTCTCGCCTTAGAGTCTCGATAGCATAATCAAAGAAAAAGATGGAGAGCTGCAGCACTTGGCAAACACCCTTAAAAACCATCAACGGGTGAAGCAGGAGCTGGAGGAGAACTGGGCTCGTGCACTGAGAGAGAAAGATGCCATAATCTCCCAGCTGCAGCAGTCCCTAGCGAGCAAGACCAAAGATCTGGAGGTGCATCATCCTTATACTGCAGAAGGGCAACACTAGTTTCTGACGTTTAGGCTGCAACCTACTTAAACAACAGTAATTGGTTATATTATTCTAAATAATTTCGGAACTTTCCCTAAAAGAGAGGAAAAGGGATTTATCTTGTTAGCATACAAAAAAGTTTGCTCCTTTGGTTTCATCACGATACTTTTTTCAAACACTGCAAAGTGCGTTGTATATGACTGTAGTAACAGACAAATAAGTACTAGAACCCAAGATGAAGTTTGAGTAACTGAGTTTATTGCACGCAAGGAACAATAAGACCAAAGTATTGTTCGAAATATAGGTGCAAAACTTCCAGTTTATATAGCAAATTTCCCTCACTTCTGACCCAAATTGTTACCATAGTAATGGGAGGCCACCTATGTTTGGACATTCCCAAGACCTTGAACACTTTTAATGGTCGGTTTTATCTTTCCTTAGTTAGGGGGGGATCTTTATCTTGCACTCGGAATTTAATGTCAATTAACTCCTGTCCCGCCATAACTCAAAGATGCCTAAACATGGAATGTCTTGTGTTACAAGACGTCTTTGTGCAGAAGGAAATCAGTTAACCCTTTTTCACATCTTATATCTTTCTTCATGACCAATGCCAACATGTAATTGTCTTCATCTGCATTAAAGCCTTAAGCTGTCCTGAGCCGTTTCTTCATTGCCTTTCAGGAAATGGCTGAAACTCTTCTAAGCCAAACCCGCAGCAATGCCAGGGACCTGGCAGAGCAGTTGACCCAACGTCTGAAAGTGACTGAGGCCATGCTGGCCGAGGCGATTAAAGACAAGGAGCGGCTGGTGTCCGAGAATAAAAATGTAGTGGAAGAGCTTTTGGCCACCATCGGCAGCAAAGATCAGCTGTTTAAAGTAAAGAAACCTGCTTTAATTTGTGTTGCCTTTTAAGTTTTATTTTCCTTATCTGTATTGTTTTGATCATACCGAGTTAATTGCGGTCCTCGATTTGAAGTGTGCTGAGTTACATTTGAATGCAAGCTTCCGATGTTTGTAGGACTTGCAGAGCTAAATATTGTTTGGGTTTTCTGAAGTTGTCCTTAAGATCTTTAAACAAATGTTCTGGAATCAGGCTTTTAAAACAGGATTTTGCTTTTAAATATTATTGGAAGTGCAGACGTAAAGTGTTGTTCTTCGAATCAGTGTAGGCATGCGCAAAAACAGTCATGAGGGGGTTTTGTGTAAATTGCTCTTTGTTATACAGGAGTCTGCCGAACATTATAACCGCTCCCTGTCTGAACGCAATCTGGAGATACAGGAACTGAGGCGGCAGCTTTCGGAAGAGAAACACAAGCTGTCGAACGCTGAAAAGCAGAGTTCAGCAGTGACACATGAGACCTACTTGGAGATGGCTGAGCTCAAGGTCCAGTTGACCGAAAAGGATACAATTATAAATGTGAGTTTCAAGCTCTGTCCGAAGTACTTATTCAGCTCTCAATTTGAGCTTATTTAGCTTTCCATTTGTTCATCCAGAGTTTCTATGTAAATCATGAAATAAATGAGAAATTTCCTAACAATATTCAAACAAAGCATCTATCAGCCTAAACAATTTTGCTTCAGGTATTTTATTGCACTCTTTTATCTTAGAATAATGAAGCATTTTGCCTGTCATTTTATATGTGCATGTCAGAATTCTGCAGTTCCCTAAAGTACCTTGTATATTTACTGAATAGTTTTTCATGTTATTGTTTTATCCGTCTGTGAAACTAATATCATTTAATATCAATCAGAAACTGGTAGAGAGCGGACAGGAGAGAGATAAATTCTTGGCTCAGCTAAAACTGAAGGAGACCTCTGGACCTCAAGTCCTAGAGCTCAAGCAGACCATAGAGGTGTTACAGGAACGGTTGGAGGAGACAGAGGGTAGGTATTGTAGCCACACTTTGTGTTTTACCCACTTAATAGTTTGCTGAAAGAGGGCATGAACATTAAAAATAAATGCAAAACTAAACCTTTAAATCTTTGAACAAGGAAAAATGGAAGAATCATGTAGTGGAATCCTGAAATATTTCGGTATTCTGCACCACTAAATTATTCACAGTGTGGAGTCATTTAAATGTAGCTTTTTTCTTGTTCTTTAAATTTGCACTTTGCCATGTCATTTGTCTCTCATGTTGGGTTTCATCTAGGAAGCTGATCTTTTGAGTGACAGGCAACCAGCAAGGCACACAAAATGTATGAAACCAAAACAAGATGGGTTTCTCTTATTGTTTTTTTGGTACTGTTCTAGCTGAGCTCGCAAAGACGAATGAAGGAAGCACTGGAAAAATCCCTGTTATTAAAAAGACCGCTGTTGCCTTGAAGAAGGAACTGGCCCAGAAAACAGAGACCCTAAACAAAGCTTTAAAGAAGGAAAATGACTTAAGGGTATGTATTCAAGAGACATCCGGAGAGAGATTAATTCCAGTCTGTTGCTTCAGCTTATGCTTTAAAAGAAAAAAAGCAAAATATGTTTATTTAATGCAAAATAAGTGCTCTGTGTTTTAAGGTTAAATTAAGGTCTGATTACCTCCAGGTAAAATGCATATCCATTAATGACAAATGACGTTTGGTGAACCTTGCAGAGAAACAAGATCAAAGGGTTTTTGCTTATTTTTATTTTTAGACTTAAATAATGAGCTATATAGACCTGCAGGAATATTAGTTACTAGGGAATTTAAGTTGTGTGGAATGAATTCTCTTGCTGAAATAGTATTTTTACTTAGCTACATAAAGTGCTTGTTAAAAAGCTATAATTAATTGCATAAATAAACAAAGTGTAAAATGATGCAAATGCTATACAATTCATTTTTTCCTCAGATCGAACTGGCTGAGCTTCGCTCCACGCTGACTGATCTGGAGAACCGCATTGAGGCTCAAGCTGCCCACATTGAGTCTCTTACCACGACTTTGGAAGTGAAAGACGAAATCATTTTGGTAATAATATCCCCTGACATGCTGGGAAAAGCATGGATTAACACTTGCCTTAGAGAAGATGTTGGAAATCTATCTTGGCTTTTCTGTTATGGAAATGTTTTTAAAAAATGTGGTTTAAATCTTCCAAGTTGTATTTTTTGAATACTTAAGATCAGGAAGTGTTGACTTAAGCCTTACTTTCTGAATTCCCAGCAAGGCAATCATTAGGCTACACTTGAACAGAGAATATGTAATTACTTAGCTGACATTTAATAGCACAATCAGCTCAAACTCCTTAGGTTTCACAGGTTTTATACCTTTAGGTGTTGACACAGATGAGTTTTCTGGGATTAGCATTTCAATAAATGTACAGTAGTGTGTTATATTCTTCAGGCTTGGGCTCCTGTCCATGGAGTTAGGCCTAAGTGTGAAAAATCCTATAGCAGTTACAGTTCTGACCAGTGTGTGTTAAAAGAAAAGTTCATAAACCAGTTTGGAGTGACTTAAAGTAAATTGTGACAGTTTGGGCACTGAGCCAGCCTTAGGAGTTAAAAGATAAAGTGTATTTTCAATTCAAATCCTATTTCCCTGATTAGTTTGTGATGGATTTTGTTTGTCCTCTGTTAATATCTGAGATGGATCCCCCTTGACTTCATGCCTGCTCTGGGTTGACACTCTGTGTGCTTCATCAACTGCAGGATTTGCATGAAAGGCTGGGCAAGCAGATGGAGGGCAAAGTTCTGGAGCCCGAGGCTCAGAGAGCAGATCCCAGGGAGGGCAGACAGATACCTGGCATCCCCCAGAGAGAGAGGACCATCATTGGAGGAAACAGCCAACAGGAGGTATGGCTCCTTTCTCTTGGTATTCTCGCTTATATATCGAGAAGACTAATTTTGACAAAATTCAGAAGTGTTTATGCCTATAAGGAACATATGATAAAACTGGTTCTGTTGATAAAATTATGACAGTATAGTGTAACTGGAAATGTATTCGAGTGCGTACTGCCTTAAGGATGTTATTATACTTCTTGCAAAGAGAGGTAAAATCTGCATGTGCCTTCTGACCTGCTGGGTAAAGCACAAATAATTGCTTTAGAGAAGGTGCTGTAAATGTTCCAGTCAGGTATTAGGATTCTATGGCTACTGCTGTATTCAATGCATGAAAATAGGGACATTTTAATTCAGTTTTATTTGCAAAAGACCTTTATTTCTGTTTGCTCTACAGGCCTTCCCCACCCTGCAGGCTGTGCTCTCTGAACATGAGGAGCTGAACAAGGCTTTGAAAGCAGAGCAACAACTATATTCAAGCCTGGTCAGGTCTGTCAAAGAACCAGACAGGTAAATCCCACTCTTAATCAATTTCAGGATTTAGCATTGACAGTTTTTCTGGCTTAGATTTCTTTTCTCACAAATTAAGATTTTGGTTTGGTTTGGAACAAAGTAACATAAGGTAGATGCATTAGCTCTTCCATCAGGGGCAGTACCCAATACAAAAAGTGGACTGGAGCACGTAATGTGTTTCTTGTACAGATTTCACCAGTTTTTCAACAAGAGTTAGAATTATGCCTCATATTATAATGTACGTATAATGCCTTCATTTACATTGATTTAGAAGAGGAAAACAACTCACCCTTCATTTCCCTTTGCAAAAGCCTTGAGATCTCTCACAGGCTTACAGAAAAAATAAATAAGTGTCATTAGCATATACCTTACTGCACTTGGAGAACAAATTATTCTATAGATTTGTCTCTTAAGTATCTAGCGTGCTCATAGTCTCATACTCAGGCTCATTTCACATATTTGCAGATAAACTGATTCCATACTTTTTATTTCATTTTCTGAATGTTTACACTTTGCACTATACTGTTAGAGCAACTGTAAAAGCTTCATATCGCATCCGTATATTACATTTTGAGAAGTTGTATATGGATCACTGTCATGCCGTATAAATTCAAAACCCTCCTTTATGTGATCTTTCCGTTTTCATTTTGAGCCACTGCAAATTGTTGAAAGCCATTATCCCAGTTTGTCTCAACGTGAGTGTCTGTGTCTGCACTGCTGTGGCACAGCGCCCAGCGCCTCCACAACTTGCAGATGGAGCTCGCGGCTGTCCAGCTCCTGCGGCAGCAGCTGGAAGAGGGCATCAGGGGGAACGAGGAGCTCCGGGAGGACCTGGAGAAAGAACTCCATCAGGCCAAGAGAGGAGAAGGTGGGGAAGACGGGGAAGCGCGGGTTTAATTTTTAACAACCAGAGAAAACTGGCGTGTGTTAACCTGAGCCTTCTGCGATATGGCACAGTGTGGAAGGTACTTTGCATTTAACGCGCAGAGCTCTTCATGTGTTCCACTGTCTGCTTAAAGGTTTTTCTGCTTGAAACAGACGCGTTCACTGGCTATTCTTCTAACTCCGTTGATTCAAGTTCAAATTTCAAGTCAAGTCAAGAGATATGGGTTTCCATTCAATGAAAGTTTGCTTGCAAGACGTTTAAGCAGAGATTCAATCACTGTCATTAATTACCATAAGTCAATAAAATGTTATTCTATCCAGAGTGACTTCTACAGATTACAAGGGGCTAGGGGGTGATCTGTTCATCGACACTTTGTTGCTGTACAGTACTTTATCAAAGCATCTCAGTTTTACAAATGGATTGAGTAAATTTTTCAAGATACCATATGGCCACTACTTTGGCAAGGACATTTCCAAGAAGCAAATCCTTTGCTGGTATTGAACCACAGGACCACACCGAAATAATTGAGAGAAGATAAATTGCTGTTTGTTTAAATAGTGATTACTTTGAGCTTGTATATGGTTCTTTTTTACAATATTCAGGTAGTTTTTGTAGTAAAATATTTACTGAGCTCTTAAGAGTTGCATATGGAAATGTGCGTATTTTAACTGTAAACCTCGTTTAAGCTGCTGTGAAGCCATAGTGAAATGTGACGTTTGCTTCATGAATTAACCAGCTTGCAGTCACCCATTTTTATTTGTGAACCATTTCTGTCTGCCGTGTACGAGCTTGTGCTGTTTGATTTGTGTTTTCATGTGGGCAGAAGAAAATAATGTGCTGTTTTGTTGTATATGTCATTGTATATATTTTGTCTGCAAAAACTAGTCTTTACTGAAGCCTGTAAATAATAATTCTTCTGCTTGATCTTGCATCACTTCTTTTCGCTTGTATGTGAATTAACTTTGGAGGTGAAATAAAAATGCCAGTGCATGTGTGTGTGTGTGTGTGACTCCTTTGCAGCTAACATTTTCCTCCTGTCTTGTTTATAACCTGTCATCTCCTTTCATCTCTCATTGATGCAAATCAAAAGCCCTGGTTATCTGTAAAGTGGGTAATCCTCTACCTACAGTATGTCTGCTTTGCATGCTCGCTGTAATCGCTATAAACTTTCGTATGACCTTTACTTATTTGCCAATGCCTATCACACATCATTATGGAGAGATCTCTTCATTGGTAATGGTTTTTGACATTTTAAATAAACACTTTAGTTTTTGTAGTTTAATTTGGATTTTGGATCTAATGTAATTAGTTGATCTAAATTTATGATCTAGTAAATTATAGTTATTTATAAGATTGATGCTGTTTTCCTATGAGAAAGCCTTGCCTATATATAATATCATTAAGTTATATTCCAGTATTTTCTCCATTCGAGAACAGTAACGAAAGAATACTTCTGAAAAGGTCTTATGCACATGTCTGAAGGTTAATATCATGTGATTCAGTAATCCCACAAGCAAGGCAAATGTCTCAATGGCTTCAGTACCTACAAAACACAGGGTATATCCTGAAGCAGTAGCTGCCAGACAAGACTATAACAAATCCATTGTGCTAATAAGAGTTAATCCTTAAACACACATCTGTTTTACACTCAGTAAATGAAATCCTGAAACTGGAGTTAGCTGTTGAAGACGAAATCTGAAAATAGTTCTGGAAATCACACTAGAAGCTGGTACCTAAAATACCACCCAAGTATTTTTATTCAAAATGAATGTTCTTAAAACAACTGGATTGTTACCAAAGATACAGTATATTCCTTATTTGGAAAATCTTATTAAACTGAGTATTTTAATGTCACTGGTTTAATGGCCATTGAAATAATTACTTTTGTTTCATTTAACACATTTTTCATAAGAAGGGACGATAGGCTACATACATTTGATAAAGTTGGTATCATGCAATTACTTTTTCTGGCAATTAACTCTTTCTTGTTTTCAAGCTTGGAAGCCCAGTCCTTGAATTCCAGTATTAAACACTTCACTATTGTGCTCCTAAAATACTTTACACGGATATTTTAGATACTAGGTTTTGCTTAATGTTTTTACAAAAACGCTTGGAATACGCAGCCAGCACTTCAGATGAGGAAAATGGAGTTTCATGAGTATTCTCCGAGGATTAAATCCTTGTTGCAGAACTCGCATGGCCATATGTTTTCTTAAGATCAGCCACGGGTGTCTCACGTTTTGGGTTTAAAACTCCCTTGTTCAATTTATGATGATCATCAACCCTTCACTCACTGATAATCACAGGCTCCTGGCTTTTGCCATCTTGTCCATATTCATGATTGTTTTGCCTTTGTTGTGAAACACCAGTAACTATGGAAATCTATGGCAAGTTGTTCAACTGTACTTATAACGAGTGGGGGGGAGGCTGATTGTGTATCTTCTGTACTGAAGGCAGACTAACAAGACAGCTGTGCTCAAAGTACATTTGAGCAACATAAGCCAGAATGCATGAGAATTCCCATTTAGACTTTCTTTTGTTAGTGTTGCAAAGCTCATTATAATGTGGGTTCTTACTAATTAGAGCCTCAGTTCGATATCAAAGAAGTGAAAATGCCTTTAAACGTGCATGAGTGGAGCAGGTGTTGGGTATACGCTGGTGAGCCGTACGGTGAGCTGCTGATGTAAGCACAGGGGCTGAGTGCTGATCTGCGTGCTTCTGTCCGCAGGGACTGAAGGTCCGGCGATCTTGGTTGATCCGAAAGAAATGGAGGCAATGCGGCACCAGCTGGAGGACGCACAGCGGTGGAACGCTTCGCTCCAGGCGCGCCTGGGAGAAATCCAGGGCCGAGGAGGAGGAGTGGGAGGCACGAATGACACTGGTGAGCCGTCTGCTTATGTTACACTGACTCCAAAACTGGAGGCTTAAAAATCGTTTGTGTTCGACAACTGTACATTAGACTCCCATTTAAATGAGTGAGTTGTTAAGCTTATTATCTAATTTATTGCTTAAACGTTTAGAAGGGAGATCGGCAGCTAATTTAAGAATGTTAGATGTATAATGTGTTTTCTTGTATCCATTGGAACTAGCCTCCCTTTCTATATAATCTGGATATAAAGTGATCTATAAAAGTACTTCTTTCAAAACAATAACAAGTGACACCTGAAAATATATGTATTTCTTGCTATATATATCTAATAGTATAGCTTTTTTAACATTGAATTTTATTTTGAAGCTGACACCATCAGCTTCATTGGTGACCAGACTTCCTACATGAGCATATGTGTGGGAGAGGGAGAGGAGTTTGACAATCTCTCGATGCCAGAACTGAGGAGGAAGGTGGGTCGTCTTCAGGGTTTTGTTAGTTAATTTCATAGGAGCATTCGGGTTAGTGTGAAGGTGAAGGTACAGTACCTGTCTTTAAATGTGAAAGAGCAGCTACACTGTACTTACTATCACACCATTCACAGATCGCAGTTTACATCTGACTCTATCTGAATAATTCACCCACCAGTAAATGATTCAGTCTGTCAATATAGAAGTCTAGGTGTGCACTCAAAACATTTATTTTATGTAGTGCTGTGTCGTGCTTAACACCAAGGCTGGAGTGTTGCCAAACTTTTCGACATCGGTATACATTTTCATTGGTTGATCTGCCTTCTGGAAGTGTTAAAAATAAGGGTTGTGGTTAGATTTACTGCACAACATAGCTAACGACAAAGATAATTGGCCTAACTACCAGTTGTGTACGTTATCTTGATATATGTATATATTCTTACATGAGTCATTGAGTCAAACATGAAGGTACAAAGGAAGGTTTGTGCTTGGATAAAAGTGTATTTATGCTACACAGCCTTGACTGTCTATAGTAATTAAACAACTGACAGGCCAGGGCAGCAACTTTTCACAGTGGTTAGCACTCTGAACTCATAACTGGAAGATAGTGGATTGTAATCCCAGGCGAGCAAAGACCAAGATACCCAGATTGCTCCAGTGATATGCTCGGCTGTATAAATGAGTGCAGATGTAAATCTCTTTGGCTAAAACTCTAAGCCAATAAATTAATAATAACATTGTTAACAGATAATAATATCATGTATCTGTCTCAGGTCAGCAAGCTCTTTAATTACATTAAAGAACTGCAAGCAATTAATGCTGAGCTTCAGAAGAGAACCTCGTTAGCTGAGAATCCTGCCATGGCCAGCACTGAGAAGGGCAAACAAGACATCTTGACCTTATCTTCAGAGAACAAGGTGGCCACCTTATGATTTTAATTATATTTTTCCCTTTAATGATTAAAGTTCTCTTTCTAACTGGCTTTTTAACTCTTGAAACTTCAGTTCATTACTCTTCATTCTATGTTTAGTTTTTTGGTTGAGCTGTTGAGTTATCCATTTTACATTAAGGGCATACCATTCTGCTTTGATTGTGATGTCTATGGATTTCATTCCATTGTTACTTTTTTCACAAAGCCATTTGTGTCACCCCCCCATTCCATTACTTCTAGCAACTGGAAAAGAAGCTGGAGGAAGCTGTGAAAACCAATAAGGATCTTCATGATCAGTTGAACAGGGAGAGTCAGAGAGCTGCTCAGAAAAAGGTATGGTTAGACGAAAAGACATAGAATTAAAATTAAAATTTAAAAAGCTTTTTTCTATTCAGGTACATTCTGTATTTGCACTCAAATTGGCACTTTAAATTGCCAAACAGAAAGCTATGTAGAGCCACTCCTAACACTCCTTTTCTTTATAACTATGAATTTATTTCCGAAATCTCGCCCTGTAGGGTAAATGTCAGTTAAGACATCAAAGCGTACAAGTTTCGCCAGAGAAGGAGGAATCTTTCCCAGTGGACAACAGGACTGAACAAGAAGGATGTTCTCGTAAATGTGAGAACAGTGAAACAGCAGCTCACTCAACTGTCAATGGGAGTGAAAAGTCTGAGTTAGTACTGGAAGGTTCAAATGCACTTGAATCCATATCCCAGACCCAGGCAAATGGAAATACAGACAACCTTGTGTCTGATGGCAAGCAACAGGATCAGGAAAGAGAAATGGCATTACTAAGATCACTGTTGAGAGAAAGCAGGACATCTTCAGTTCTTCAGCTAAGGTAAGCTTTGGTAACAAGATAAGAAATTCTGCAGCAGCATTTCCTGACCATTAGATATTAGCTTGTCATTTTTCAGAGCATAAACTTTCCGTTAGGTTTAGTAATTAAGGAAATGATGCTATCTAAACACAGAATACACAGAAATAGATGATCCAACAAGTCTAATTGTTGAGAATAGATGTCAGAAAGGAACATTTCTTTTAATGCATTTTTTTAAATACACAAGTATAAATTGCAGGGTGCACCTTTATAAATATAATAGATCTTGTATTAGTTAGCAATCTTTGCTTAGCATAACATAATCTACTAATGCTTTCAAACATTTTATAGAAACGTGGTATCATGTGTTTTTTCAGAGATGAACTCCTAGGACTGCGGGCAGAGAATGCTAACCTTAGAGGACTCCTTAAGGAAGAAAAGTCTGCAGAATCCAAAGAAAGCAGTGACGGGGCAGGAGATGGTGAGACCATAAAAGACCTGCAGAAAGTAATTGAAAGATTAAGAGCTGAAGTGAAGAGTTCTCGAAAGATCATTAAGCTCCTGAAGGAACAGCTAGAGCTCAATTCATCCATGGATGGCGAAACCAGCTTCAATCCTGAACTCATCGTGAGCATGGCTAGAGAGATTGAGCGCCTGAAAACTGAGTACGAAGCTTCTAAGAAGAGAGCAGAGGACCTAGAGACGACTCTAGCCGAGCTCGAGGCTCAGCAACAGAAAGCCTCAGAGCAAAATGAGAACCACTCTGGCCTAACAAATATGTCAGCCGGCACATTTCCAAACCAGTCAACAATTAGACGAGCTAGACATGCAGCATCAGGGTCCAAGGTGAGTTTCAACATTTTTGAAGGGATTGTTAATAAAAAGGGAAGAACTTGAATGGAAAAAGGAAAGATGTGATTTAGCACCAGAAGAACAAGTGTTTTAGCCAGTGTTTTCTTCTTCTTTTTTTAGACATCTACAGGTCCTTGTCAACTTTTCAGTTCATAATATGAAAAATCATTCATACTGAATATAATCAGATTTAACTATGTTAATCTGTAACCAAACAAATATCTCACCATGTCAACAGTGTTTAACTTCTGTCCAGAGAATTTGTGCTTTAGGTGGTTAAAAGATTGTGTTACATTTTTTTTTTACGCTACAGATTGGTTCAAAATCACGCCTACCAGTTCCCATCAAGCCATCAAAGTCAACTGTGAATAGCAAAATTACCCACCCACAAATGGACTCTTCTCTTCTGGAGGAGAAAAGCCAGGTTTGCAAACAAACAGATCAACATCCGATTACCTCAGATTCCCCCAGGTCCACCCCAGCAGATCAGAATGCTGACAGAACCACAGAGAAACAGGATGAAGACTTGTTACAGCAGATAGCAAAACTTCAGGATGAACTTCAGGAGAAAAAACAACTAATAACAGAACTTGAGCAAAAGCTACAATCTGCAAAACCTACCACCTTGACCAGCCCGGGCATACATGGGAACCTCCGGGAAGTAGCTCAGCTGCAGAATGTACTTCGGGAGAAGGATAAACTTAACAAAGACCTGGAAGAAAAACTACACCAGGCGGAAGAGACCATCCTGTCTCTAAATACTTACATGTCCAATGATGTACCTGTAGGCAACCATAACACTGATGTGAAGCTTCATCATCTAATTTATGAGCTTCAGACAGCCCTGCAAGAAAAAGACCAACTGAACAAACAGCTTAAAGAGTGCCTGCACGCTGCAGAGTCTACCATAACTTCTCTCACAGCCACTGACTCAGAAGGCAAAGCGAGAGATGTGGAGTTTCACCAGCAGCTGGAGGAACTTCAGAAAGATCTTCAAGTAAAGGAGCAACAGCTTCAGCAGTACTTATGCTCTCCAGACTCTAACGTAGCGTCTCACACCGAAACCAGCTTGGGTGACAAAAGCAGGGACAAAGGAATGCCTGATGCTAAACTTCACAAACAGGTAGAAGAGCTTCAGCTTCATGACAAAGAACTACTGAATAAAAGCCTTGAGGAGCCCCTGTGTACTGTGGAGTCTACTATAGTGACCTTCACCACAACTAACTTGGATGACAGAGCCAAGGAAATTGGGGTGCCTGATGCTCAACTTCAGCAGCAAGTCGTAAGGCTTCAAGAAATGCTTCAAGAAAAGAATAAACAATATGAGCAGCTCCAGGAAAATATGCACCTATTGGCATCATCTAGTAGTTCAGCTACTCATCAGAATGACAGTGAGGACCTTCACAAGCGTATCAGTGATCTCCAGAAAACTATTTGGGAGAAGGATCAGGCTAACTCAGAGTTACAGGAAAGATTGTGCGCCATGGAGCTGGCCTTTGGACAATGGAATGCTGATAGAACCATAGCAGGTGAAAACCTTGGAACGGACCTCCACACACAAGTGGGGCATCTTCAAAATGCCCTTGAGGAGCAGAAGCAGCTTAACAAGGAACTGAAGGAGCAGTGGAGCGCAGCAGAGTCAAACATGGTGCCGGCTGATAAGCATGCAAGTGTCCAAAGGCAAGCAGACAAGCTTCAGAAGACCCTGAAAGAACAACTACAGGCTCAGAAAGCACTGGAGGAGAAGTTAAAAACTGCAGAGACGACCATTTCTCGGCTCAGAACAAAATCTAAAGCACGAGGTGCATCTCATCATGGTAAGCAAACAAGAAAGGTTAAACTCTAGGTTTTATCATATAGTCAGAGGTTAAATCTCTCCTTCCAAGAGAGGAGTAAATCTGAATCCTTTAAGAATTGTATAGATTCTGACAGGTAATTCTTCATACACCAGTTGCAAAAATGTATTAGAAGTCATTTTCACTTTGCATTCCCTTAAACACAGAGCAGTCTGTACGTATTTGGACAGTGGCACAGTTTTTGTTGTTTTGGCTCTGTACTCCAGCACATTGGATTTGAAATGAAACAGTGACTTTTGAGGTTAAGGTACAGAATGTCAGGTTTAATTCGAGGGTATTTGCGTCTATACTGGGTGAACCAATCACATGAAACAAATCATTGTTTCATTTCAAATCCAATGTGCTAGACTGCAGAGCCAAAACAACAAAAATTGTGTCACTGTCCAAATACTTACAGACTGCACTGGATGATAAAAAGGGAGCTGTGTCACCATTCAGCTTCAAAGAAACATATATAGGTTAATTCCATGCTCTACTTGTTCCTTAACAATATAATATCCAATTCTTCTTGTCAGTATGACTTATGTATTATCAGGAAAAAGAATAAATTTTACAATTCTGTAAATCAAAATATCACCAGGCTTCAAAAGAGAAGGAGAATGCTTTTATATTCTTCAGTGAGATTGTAGGAATGAGAACAGCATTTCCCATTAAGTACGCTTATCTTATTACAAATTCCAAATCTGAGACGGAATGAACATGATGTGCATGCCAAACAGAATTTAGGTGCAGTGAACATGATGGCCTAAAAATGTCTACATGATTGACAAAACTGAAAAAAGAGAATTAACAGTGATCTGTGAAATGTTGCTCTGCTTTTATGTGGAGTATTTTCTGTATTTCTTCAATCCTGGCCCATGGTCACCATCACGTAAATCTGAAAGACAGTGAGTGATGCTTTCGGGGCATTTACAGTACTTTAATCATCAAACTAATTTGCTTGAGCTAAAGTGAAATGAAAAGCATGTTGCCAAGTTTTGACCCTGGCAGCGATGGACAGTGACATGCAGTCCCTTGTGCTGCGCCCTGCTAACCTCGGTGTGTTGTCCGTAGCCGGGTCTTCTTTGGAACAGGATGACAAAGAGATTCAGGTGGACTTGCAGGACTTCGGTTACGAAACAAGTGGAAAGAGTGAGAACGAAGTGGATAGGGAAGAAAACGGTAGTCCAGGTAGAAAGCATGCCTGCTGAGTCTTGACTAATCACTGTGTGGAAACCGCACGAGCATGCTGGGTGGCAGTATGGTGTGCAGAGTCGGAATAATTAACCGCGTGTGTAATTTGGGATTGTAAACCCTGCTACGTGACTTTGGGCAGGGTACTGGTTGGGGTGCTTTATAAGACCATGACCTACTAACATTAATATCCTGAAATGTGGCATGTTAATTCTGAAGTCCATTATTCCCGCAGTGTTCCATGTCTTTTCTCGCATGCTTGATGTGTTTGAATTGCCTTGGTTTCCTCTTTCTTTTTCCTTTTGCTTATCCTTTCTTCGGTAATACCCACTTTGCGGGTATTGTCCACTGCCTGCTGAAAGCCATAGGCTGATTATTGTAAATGTTACGTGTCTGTGATTAAGATGTGTTTAGGATTAGGATATTGTTACTTTTGTTTTTTATGTGGATTTCATATTCTTACAGTAAATACATTTGTTTCTAGTTTGGTGTCCAACAGTAGCATTCATTAATCACCGATTTACAGGTTTTTCAGCTATGTGTTGTTTTTTTGTCTTTACTTACCTTTTATTGCAGTTATGTTAATGTTTTTTTCTTAAATAAGCTCTTAAAAATCAGTACTTTTAAGTTAAAGTTTAGAAATTTGCAGTGCTGCAAATGTTACACTCATCAGTAGGATTGTAAAGTGACATTAGGCATTGGTGTTTCAACACTGAATGAAAAGCCCTGAACCATGTCCTTTTCTTTTTCTGTTGGGTTGTGCTTTGTAGACCATGATAATCAGCTCAAGCAGCATGCCAGCGAATCCAGTATCCCATCCTTGGTCAAGCAGATTCATGGAAATTTCTTCTCCATGGAAAACCTAGAGACTAACTCTACCACCTCCTATCCAAGCTCCCCCACTCTGAGCTCTCCAAAAGCAAGCATGAAGAGCCTGCACATATACGATGACTATGGCCTAACAGATGATGCAGAACAGCTGAGGCAGCAGGTTATGGAGCTGAAGGTACAGCTGGAAAATTACCAGAAGGTGGTTCATCACCTGCAGAGCCTTCTCCGTAGGAACTCCCTGTCTAGTGATCTCCTGACTGTTGGCTCTGACTCACACCACACCATCACCAGAGAGCTTCAGGAAGCACAGGACGGGGATCACGAAGAATTGCAGAAGGATAGCCAACAGTTGTCTTCTGGAGTCTTCAGCAGAGAAAACAGCCAAAATCAGAGCTTCCCTTTGAGCCAGGATGAGGAGGAAAAGCAGATGTTAAAAGACCAGATAACCAACCTCAACATTGAGCTGGATAAAGAGAAGATGTTCAACAAGAACCTAGCAGACCAGCTTCAGCAGATTCAGTTAAGGACCAGAGCAGCATCTCCTGGCAGGTGATGATAAAAATGCCTCCATATTTATCCATAACCCCCATAGACTGCACTTGTGGAATTCACACTTCCACGTGACCTTTCTTCCAAAACCATGTTCTTCAAGGCTAATTATCAGAGATAATTTTTTATAGAGGTTGTACATTCTTGAGAGTACTTATCGACAAAGGAAGATAACTTTGGGTAGGATTTTATCAAGCATTCTTTTGGAGCTCATCACCAGGATGGGTAGCGCAATACAGGCAATTAACCTCAAAGAGCTTAGATTCAGGTCATCATTTGGCATTGCAATAGATAGGTCTGTTGATAAAAATGTGTCCTTGCATTCTCTGCCTAATCGAATGGGACTTTTTCCATATAGTGGTCCAGTGGAATTCTATGCCACCTTAGCTTTCAAGTCAGTTGAAATTGTACTTAAGAAAGCAGACAAATGTCACTTTTTTAGTCCTGATGAAAATGTGATTTGAAAACTACCTCAGAATATGCTGGCATTAATAGTGGTTGGCTTAAGCATGAAGAATGTGAGCTATTTTGGAAGGCACTGGGGATAGACACGCAGGAGCTCTCTAGCATTTTTCCTCCCTCTGTGCCAAATGAGACCGTGCTACCCATGATTCCCCTGGCTGTGCCCACAGGTTTGACTCGCTGGTCCAATCACAGGCGAGAGAACTGTCGCACCTGCGGCAGCAGATCAAAGAGAGCCGTAGCCTGGGAGCCCTACAGCGCCACCAGCTGCAGGACCTCGGCAAGGCCTTCGAGGAGCTGCTGCAGGCCAGCGAGGTGGACTACTACGTGGGTGAAGTTTTCCGCGAGCAGCTGGATAAAAGCCTGACTGTGCTGGAAAAGCTGGAGGACAGGCTGGAAAATGGTGAGTCGGGAAACCCTTCATCATCAGGAAGTGACTTGCCTCTCACTTTACAATGGAAAAGCCAATGAGAGTTGAGAAACATCTCCAGATGAATTTTGCTTACTCAGTTGTATAGTAAACGTACTGCTGATGGCAGGGGATCAAAGAAAAGGGCAAACTGTTATATGGAATTAAGTAATGTCACTAACAGTGTTCTTGCTGTGAGTATTGCTGTAATAAAAAATGCACAAGCTCAACATAGGAGTGGAGCAATGGTATAGTGCAGTTAATGCTGAAGGACAGCATTCATGTGAATCTTGTATCTTTCAGGAGATGCATATGGAGATAACGAAGAGGGTGCTCTCCTGGAACTTGCTCAAAGGTAATGCATCCATTATGAGAGTCGCTCCTCATAATTGTAGTCCACATTGTAATTCCACATTGTAAATTGCTCTACAAACCCCCGTATTGTAAGTGTAGGATTTAATTTATTTTTTTTAACTGTGAGTTTTCCACAATGTTGGCTATGGCAGCTGATGCCAAATGATGCCAACAGTGATCCTGTGGTGGGAGCCAGGGGATGAGATAACCAAAGGGCATAAGAAACTCCTGCCAGACTGCCAGTGGAATGTCTGTGCAATGATCTGAGCATTATTAAAAGTCGTCTTGAGAACTGTATGATTAATTTGATCACTCACCTGCTTGCTTATGTATTTGTTCTCTGTCACGTAAGGGTATACAAGATTAAATGAACATGTCCAAGAACTTGATCTCCAATCAATTACATTAAAGTGATTACATTAAAGTGCATGCATGCCCCTGTTATCTGCAGCTCATGTGTTTTCTATATTTCCTTTGCCTTTGAAATACTGTGTCAACCCACAGGCAGTCCCTCTCTTTGTTGCTGGCTAGTCCTGATAGCCTACAGCGTGAGATAACTTACCTCCAAAAACAGCTAAAGAGCGAGAGGCAGGAGCTGCAGAAGCAGTTGAAAGTTCTTGCGCGTCAGAATCAGAACTTAGCTGATGCCACAAAAGAGCAGCTTGATCTGTAAGTGGTGTGAGCACTGAGATAAAGGCATGTTTCTGATGTATCTTATTTCTCTCCTTCCAGCATAATGGTTTTTCATTTGAATGCCCTGATATTGGAGGTGTCTGTGATGTGTACTGGGTTTTGTAAACCTTCAGTATGCTTTTTTGGGGGTTAAGTCATAAAAATATTGGCACATTTCAGACACAAGCAAGATCTTCATCAAATTATAAATTAAACTGTCCTCACCAAAACTCTCTTAACTGGGAGGTTTGTGATAGGGGAACAAATGAGATTGTGGCGTCTGTATACTCTGATGTGCTTCAGAATTTAAAAGGAGGGGGGGTTAAGGAGGGACCTGCTGATCAATATTAAAATGATAACCGAAAATTTAATTCAAAAGAAAATACATCTTGATTTTGAAGATATTCCACTGCCTCGTGTCTGACATGTTCTGTTTCTAGTGTTGTTAATTAATGGCCTCTTCTACTACTGGCCAAAGGTGCAGTAGTAAAATGTCGTGCTCTGAATAAAACAAAGTGAGAGTGCGCTGTAAGAGCCCACAAACGACCTGACAGTTCTGTGGTTGCGGGTCTATCCAGACTGACAAGGGAGGTGCAGGACAAGAACCTGACGATTCAGCGGCTTCAGCAGCAGATCAGAAGCCAGTCGCTGGAACTGAGCAGCAGCCACCCCAGCTCCGATTCCGACGCCTCCGACCGGATCTCCCCGAGGACCCGGAATTCACGCGAGCGTCTGCGACCCGAACACAAGTGCAGCCAAACATCGAAAGGTCAGATATTCACAGAGATCATTTCTTCAGGAAGCCTCTATTTTAGTGTGCCATAATTAGAATGTGGAAAGGTACTGTTTACAACCGTCACTGTGACAAGCTGAAAACCATCAATGCTGAATGTTACATTCAAGGCACTGAGACACAAATACTGCTGTTTTTTTCCAACAGAATCTTTCGGTCCACCTGACAGAGTTCAGAAGGTCTTCAGCCCTCGGGCCTCAAACACCGACATTTCAGGTATGTTAGAAGCCTGTGCACTTTTTGTCTCATGGCCCTACTTAAATACCATTCCCTTTGTGATTTTGCACAGCAAATCTTGCATTTATTGTGTTGCTGTTTTTTGTGATTGGAATTTTACTTGAATTATAAATCCATTTTTAGTTCTGTTTTCTAATAGGAGCAGTTTCACGTTAAAGATAATTCCTTGTGAAATATTTTAGATGTTGCAGGAAGACATTTGCAGGTGTAATTTGAAACATTTGGACTCCTCTGGTACTCTTTTCCCCTTCTGTTTTGTCATGTACTGTACAACCAGAAACCAGAAACATTCGGTACATGTATATTATTTAACATCCAATAGGCTGTTCTGTATAAACTCTGAAATGTTTCATGTAGTGCTGCTCACAGTTCTGCTCACAGGCTAGTAATGGCATTCTGGCCCAGTTTTCTGAAAGCAATCGGTACGTTTAACAAAAAAAAACAAGAACTGAGGGCAGGACTAGTATAAGGTTTCCACAGGCACTTTAAAATACATTATTCATTACAGGTATCCTATTTAATTCGGAAACTATCTCCTTCAAGGAGAGACAATGGCCTCTTTTATGGAAATAGCTCCGCAATGACATGTGAGAGGTTTCTGCTCCACTGTTTATCTGCCCTTGATAGTTCACTAGTGCTGAGCTGAGAAAGCAGTTGGATCAGAAATGGATCTATATGAGGGAAAGGCTATGAGTAATTTTATTTCGCGTGGACGATGGAAAAAAATATTTAAGGCTATGAAAGGGGAAATCAAAGGTATTTTGCATGTGTGTTTAGTAATGGTTTATGAAATGAGCATAATACTGGTTTTTAGTAGCATTCTTTGTCATCAGGGCTGTTTCAGATGCCTGTTTTTATTGCATGTATAATAAAGGTCCAGTAGACTTTAGAAACAATATGATGAACAAAATGTATTTTGAAGCCTTATGTTTTGAAAGCAGCATTTCACTTTTAAAAGATGGGGATTTTTTATTATTTTGAATGTTGTTGAATTTAAAAACTGAAGATCAGAAGTCGTGGACAGTCCATTATCTCTTCTTCAGAATTCAAAGTTGGACTTTCTTGATCTTCTTTTTTCTGCTATTATGTAACTTTGTAATTCTCATACAGAGAGAACTTTGACATTTGGCTAAATTTATCTGTGATGATGTGCTCCAGTAGAGTATGCACTCTTGATCAAGGGCATCTGTTAGATCTTTGCATCAGCTAAAGGCAAGATCAGATCACTGTGAATGAATTTGTCATTGCTCTTATTTGTCTGTGATTCTTTCTATTCATCTATCAATATCTGTATACAATGCATGCCCCAAAGTCACTGATAATGGAACTGTGTAAAGTGCCTTTATGGGCATAAATAAGTGACCTGCTTTCACAGAGCCTGGCTTTTCAAATTCATTTTCCATATCAAGAGATTAATCTTACCAACAGTCTCCAAAATGGAGCTTAAAGGAGCTGCAGCCAGCATTTCAATCTTTCTTTTGCAGATAAGCCTTATATTGGCAAGAACAAATTTGAAATAAATTTAAAAAAATCTTGAGAACTAAGCTTGAAAAGCAGGACAAGCCTGTGATGTAAAACCTGTCCTTACTGGTATTTTTTGGGGTTATTTTAGCTGAAATAAAAGTGCCTAATGGAGTACACACAGAAGAAGCTACATATCCACCCAGTGGCTTAGTTAGGAAGTCTTCTGTTGCAGGTAAGTGATTCTTTTGTGCAGAGATCAAGCCTGATTGTGGATAAGTGGCATTTGAGGGAGTCTTTGAGTGCATCAGATATGTACAGACATATTTCTGGATGTGTAACTAGAAAACATTGCGAGCAGTCAGCGTTGAGGTATGCCAATGATCTTGATTTTATATAATGGTCATTACCCATATCTTAATGATAATCCAGAAATAAGATTCAATCCATTTGACATATGAAGCTACATGGGCGCATTTCAGTGAACAATGCGTATGGGCTAGAGTTTTTGTTTAATGCTATTAAAATACCTTTGCAGGGGATGACGTTGGAAAGCAGAGCTTCTCTCAGCCTGTTCTCAACCCTGAGGAGCCTGAGATCCAGACTGACAGTGCCCTAGCGCAAAGCAAACACCTCCAGGAGCTGCAAAGGGAGAACATCCTGCTGCTGGATAAGCTGAAAAGCAGCGAGCAGCTGAACGATACCCTGCGCAGCGAGCTGGACCTTCATCGCTCCATCCTGGCCGATAGAGAGGAAGCTGGGAGAGAGAGAGAGCTTTCTCCCACAGCCCTGGACAAGACGGCAACATCTCACCTGGAAAAGGAATCACGGCCAGAAGGAAAAAATGAGGCACCGGGTCTGATGAATGCAGGTACCCTTCAAATAGGACTGCTTTTAAGTGCCTTTGGAATTTTTCTGAATGTACTAAATCAGTAATGGTGTTTGAATACAGATCAGGATGTGTCTTGTAGTAGAGGCAACAGTGGTTTGAATCTGGACTAGTTCATTTGCAGAATGGCTTGTTACTCTACAAGCAGCAGTGAAAGGCAATTCTAATTATTTCCTTCAGTGTGAGTTTTATTTAAAAAACACAACAGTTCACTTACAAATATGTTGGGTTCATTTCTAATTCTGCCCACTTTGTTTTCATCTGGGGCCTTCCAAACGTCTTCAGCTGTAATTAATCAAAAGGGCACCCTATCATTTGTCGATACATTTAAAGAAACCTTTTGAAGTAGAAGGATCTTCTTTACATTTGTAATGTTAAGTCCTTCCATCCTTCCCATCAGATCTCCTAGCTGAGCACCTTCAGGAAATCCGGAGTTTGCGACGGCGTCTGGAGGAGTCCATCAAAACCAACGATCGCTTGAGAGAGCAGCTGGAGAGAAAACTGGCCGAGGTGGAAAGAGACCCAGGTTGTTCTTCTATCTTTTCGTTGAAGAAAACCTGCCACAATTTAGATAGCACACTGTACATATAATTACAATTTCCCTTCCAGTTGCAAGTTGCAGCTGGGGATATGTTGCCATATAGGGAGTGGGGCTACATGAGAAAGAGCTCTTAATGTTGTCGTGTCTTTTCCAGCTGGCTTCGAAATCTGTACACGTGTTCAACCTTAGAGTTTGTCTGCTGTCTTTTAGCTTTGGGTGATGATCTTTGAAGCATTTGCTGTCCTTAAGGGTAAAGGGAGTTATTGTGGTTGCCAGTTTAAAGGTTGTATAGATAATCCTGTGTATACTGTCTTTCAGGTTCCAGAGTATCACTTTGTTTGATACTTTGTAAACCACGTATCACTTTGATTACTGCTGATCATAAAGTTTTTTAATTTAAATGAAGAGGGAGAAAAAAGCCATGATCATATTTTTTTTTAGTGAGATGAACAGTATAAAGTGCTGTGTTTGTGTTTTCTTGAGTGTGATTTTGCATTCATGCGATTCACTGTGCAGTGGTCCTGTTTTGTAGGGAGTGCATATCAGACCGTTCATTTTTCATTTGATCTGCTGTTACAGGACCAAAGCAGTGCTGTTATTTTCTCCAGCAGTTTTCCTTCAATGCAAATCATTTAGAAACATAACTGACATGGAATCTGTTTCACATTTCAGCCTCTACAAACATTTTCATCCATGGGACAGAAGAACAAGGCCAGTTGGAGAAGGAGATCCGCTTCTTGTGGGGGCAGAACCAGGCTCTGAAGGAGCAGCTGAATCTCGGGTCCCGAGGTACTGTACAGCCCCACCAAGTGCTCCACACCTGGCAACCCTCAGCAGGCAATGACCTCTGGCACCTTAATATGGGGCCCACAGCAGAGCATATTAGTTAGGCAGTTAGTTGCTTTGAGACTTTAAGTATCTGCCAGAAGCATTCTCTAATCATTTCCTTTACAAAGCAAACACCATCTTGACTTCATGTACTGCAGTTAAACAGGCTGAAAGTCGTAAGCCAGCCGTTAGGAGGATAAGCCTTCCCTCCAATGGATATAGTCCAAGAAATCCTATTATAAGGCGTCTGGTTTGAATGTTGTAAGATCTGACTGGTCTGTTTTCAGCTTTAATCATATGGGACACTCTCAGACTCAACAGTGACCTTCCAGAATCCCAGCTATGCTTTATCCCTTTTATCGACTGTAGCCAAGTGAAAAAATAGTGACTGTAGGGTAAACTCCCAGGCGTTGTCTTGTCCTCCTTACCTGGTTATTTCTGTTTTTGTTGCTCGGCGTCCTGGTTGCTGGTAAACAGATAAGCAGAAGGAAAACGAAAAGCTGAGAGAGTCCCTTGCCAAGAGAAATGCCAAGCTGGAATACCTGCGGAACGAGTACGAGCTGATGCAGAAGGACAACAGCAGCCTGCGGAGCCGGCTCGTCCACACGGTGGAGGAGAACAACCGCTTCAAGGACACGCTCCTCTTAAACCGAGATAAGATCAACGGGTAAGACATATCCCGGCTGGAGCTGAGTGCCAGCATGATTACAGTGCTTTTCCAGTGCCAGACATGTTCTGCTTATTAATAAAATACACCGCAATTCGTATATCCAAACATTACAGTAATGCAACAGTACAGTTCTCAAATGAACAAGAATATAACTGAATACAAAACTGCACTATATCAAGAAAAGAGGAGTTCAAGGTCTAACCACTAGAGGGAAAGAAGAATTATACTGATATACAATGTATAAAATAGAATATTGAAATATTGTAGATGTTTTGTAACAATGTTGTAGATATTGTTCACTTATGTTTATACAGATTATGAACAAATGACAAAACATACCGATTGGTAACATCGTTTGGCGATTAGTGTATTAGATTACAGACTGAAAATGGACAGAAATTAACACATTTATTACTGCATAATTGTCCAAATATAAAGATAAACCTTTGTCACAACAGCGTGGCATTCTTTCTTGATTGCAATGTGGATAATATTGCATAAAGCTTTGATCAGTAACTGCAGACTGAATCTAGACGTAATTACTGTGGTTAAAACTCGAGGTGTTCTGTAACTCCACCTTGAGCTCCTGCATTTCTGAAAATCACTTCAGCTTGGAATATTTTGACAAGACTCAGTACCTACAGGTAGAACCTGATCGGAAATTATTTGGACATTTTCTTTAAATGGCTCAAGCTCAGGCTGTAGTGTTTCCACAGCCCCCAGTGTTCATGAGCTCTCCTGGCTGTTTCACAGGTTGCAGTGTGAAGTGAATGCACTGCAGCAGCAGCTCGCCGATAGCCAGCACCTCTTAAAATCCCTGCATGTGGAGCTACAGGTCTATGAGCAGCTTAAGGCAGACCGTGACAAAAACACAGGTATGCGCCGACAGGATCACGTCTTTCCACAGCAAATTTGTTTCTTCAGTTCGCCTTCTGTTGGATGCAGCCTCTTCGTTTTTGAGCCGCTGCGATTTTCATGCGATTTGCACGAAAGTTGAATAAACAATAAAGTAGTACTGAAATGTCCTTATTCAAAATATCAGTACAAAACGGTGAATCCCAAATCAAGTACGATTTCACTGACTGGATTTTATTTTATTGAACTCCATTTCGATTTTAAGGTTTATGAATACTTGGTTACTCGCAATCTATTTACTGCAGTAAAAAATCAGGTGGAGCTGGGTTTTTTTTGTGCAGCCCAGCTCTTGCCCTCAGGCTAGTCTGGGCTATCTTACTGGGTCAGTTTGTTCCAGCTCAGCGAGCTGCAGCGTGAGTGTAATTTCTGTGCAGTGTGTCAGACCACATGAAAAACATGTCTGTCTCCGCTTATTCAGAGGAAAGCATTCTTTATATTGCACCTTTGTCTTGCGAGTTAATGATGTTCATGTTTCTTTAAAAGAAAGCTTTAGAAATAAGCTTAATTATTGAAGAGATAAGAGAGACATCTGGGGAATGAGATAATAATATCATTTCTTGTTTTTGTATTTTTGCAAACTATGCAGTCTAGTGGCTTGACGTTAGCTTTGCGCCCAAATATATAAAGATGCTGCCTGTCTTTGGTCAGTAAGATAAAGGGCATTTATTTGGTAAGCTGGCTGTACACCCAGAATGTGAAAAGAACTAACTGTTGTCTAGTCTGCAACTTAGATATAATTAATTGGCAGGTGTTGCTGTCTTATCATTTGTTTAGAATGTGTCATAGTAACTGGTTTTGTTTTAAGGTATAAAGAACCATCTTCAGCTACTTTTTTTTTAAGTCTGGTGGTTGCAAGCCAGACTTCCATATGCATATGTAATAAAGAGACTTCTGCATCACAGACACCTGCACTTTGTCATTTGTATGACACAACATTATTGTATGAAAAACAATTCAGACTACATGATCTAGTTGGGAAGAGACATTCTGCTTTAAGTATCTGTTGGCTTTCTAAAATATTCAAAAAAGTATTTTTTCTAAGAAGTCATTATTTTTCTCTGGCCAGTGTTACAGATACAGTAAGTACTGTATCTGTAGTAGTGTCAAGGTTATGAATTTATGCTTTCATCTTAGATATTTTTAAGCATTGTTAATGTTTAAAATGTCCAACATGTGAGTGTATTCTCCTAAAGTTGTAATATTCAGAAAATATTGGTAGCATAGTTTGGGGATTAGTGTATTAGATTACAGACTGAAAATGGACAGAAATTAACAAATTTATTACTGCATAATGTTGTGCTTTGTCCATTAATGAAACTGTTCTCTATATTTGAACTGTGAATAAGGATGTACTATTTTAATAATGCAAACAAAAACCAAAAAAAGATCAATAGGGAAGCTTTCTTATGGTTTATGAGTTTCCATGGTTTGCAATTAGACATTTAGTGGTATTAGTAAAAAGGGCAAGGTATCAATATTTTCCATTTTATTTCTTGTGCAGGCTCATAATCATGTAAGCCATTATTTCATCATAAACCTGGTTCAGATCATTAGTTTTACATGAAGTAGTTCCAAGTAGGGAGCTGCGTCAGCATGTGTAGGCTGCAAAGGAACAAGTAAACGTTTATTCCATGCTGAAAAGAGAAGAAAAGAAACAGTCGCACCCAAAGAAGGCTCCACAGCCGAAACGTTGTGTTTCTTTTCATCTCTTTTCAGCATGGGATAAATCTTTACGTGTTCCTTATTAGTTTTACATATTTGGGTTGTAACATCAATGTAATCGACTGTTTCTGTTAAGTTGATAATGATCTTGTTGTTTTATAATAGTTTAATTGAAATATACAGTACACGTATTCCATTATATATACATTTAATACTGTCAATGTTAAAGTTATATCCAGTGCTGTGAATTGTAGCAAATTAAGGAAATGTCATGAGTATAAGTACATCTCAAGCAAATTATTAAGCTTCTAAGATATATCTTCCTGTCTTTATGTACAGTATGTTGAGACTTGAGACTTGTATTTTCCTTGAGATTGCATTCGTGTACTAAAAACCTAAACTGTGATCATCTGTAGTTTCAGATGCAGCTGTGGGCCAAACCCCAGACACACCTGTCCACAGTCCGGGGCCCCTGGACCTGAGTGAGCTCCTGTCTGAAATTCGCCATCTGAGAATCCAACTGGAGAGGAGCATCCAGACTAACAACGCCCTGCGCCAGAAATTGGAGGAGCAGCTTCTGAGGGGGCCAAGCAAAGCAGAAGGATCGCCGTCAACCATCAATATCAATTACCTCCTGTCGGGAGAGCACAGGCACTCAACACTCAGCAACAGTGGAGGTACGGATCACTGCTGTAGATGTTCCCTGTTCCTCCTAGGACAGGGGTGGACAACTGTAGTCCCAGAGAGCCATGCCATCTTCCTCCAATGGATCTCAGTTTATTAATGGATAATAAGCCTACTGTTAGTGCATTAATAAAACTATTTTAATGAAACAAGGTTCCTTCTGCAAATAGCCCTCCGGTTAGGTTCAGGCTATAGTAAGGATTAAGGTCTTATTACTAATTGCAGATATAAAAGTACGCATACAAATAGTAGAGATTAGTTATTATTACATCTGTTGTCCTTTTAATACTTTATAAATTCTCTTTATATAACATTTATAATGGCAACTGCAATCTCTAAAGTGCCACGTACAGAGCGTAGCTATGTAGAATACAGTCCATGTGGGTCACATAAAACAAACTCTTATACACACACGGAAAGTGGAGATATAAAGAGGATTACGAGAAAGAAACAGATATACTTTATTTGAAAACAGCTGAGCAGGGAAAACTGGTTTATGTTCGGATCCCATTAGGATGGCTGCCAGTATTATACTCTATGGGTCAATTTTTTTTATATGAATATTTCAGTGTTTAAAGCCTGCTCCGGAGTTCCCCGGAGCTATACAAATCATAAAGGGAAGTCTTTTTTTGTGTTTTAGATAATGCTGCAAAATCGCCAACAAATGACAATTGTGAACATTTCCCACATCCGTCTTTCCACGGGTCAGCAAAATCGGGCCGAACTCCAACGGGCAAGGACGTTTCCAATGTCTTGCAGGGTGTGTTGTACGGATACATTTTTTTTTTCCATTAAACACCATGAAACTGTGGCACCGTTTTAGCTCTTTGTATAACTGCTGATCTGTTTTAGCTACTTTGAAATGACTTGCATTGGGGGAATAAGATGCCACAGTACATTTACAAGGAATACTGGCCTTTGTGTTAAAAATAGTCCATTTAAAAGGTCAGTAACTGAGAACGGGCATTTTGTAAAGAATGTCCAAGATGGGCCTCGTCAGAGGTTTGCAAAAAAGCTTTCTGTTGGATTTCAGAGATCAACAAGCGCATGAAAAGCGACCTGGACTGTGCTTCCCAGTGTAGCAGCAGCTCTGCAGACAGTGCGTCTCCCACCCCCTCTCGACTGGTCCCAGGCCACCGCCTGTGGGCCAACAAGAACGGCCGCCACGTACTGGGCCTCATAGAGGACTACAATGCTCTGCGAAAGCAGATTTCAGAGGGGAAGATGCTGACCCACGGAATGGACAAGCACCTGCAGGAGTGCTTCCACGCTCTTTCTCAGCAAGCCTCGGAATCGAAGGTAGATCCACTTTGGCCGAGCACAGGAACCAGCTTTTACCTCCACCCATGCCCTGACAAAAGGGGAATCCTGCACGTGAGACGACACAACTGAGCAGAGAGCTCACAGCACTGTAGGCAGGCATTTACTGAGACAAAACTCTGGGCTTGTAAACTAGGACCTCACCACAGTCAGTTTAATTCCAGATGCTTTATTGGCATGACCAATGAGTAAAACCAGTGTTGCCAAAGCAAAACAAATACATTTAACTTAAAACAAAAATCTACAGACATTTACAATAAAGACACAATCATAAGATATGTACATATAAACATATACAGTAGAGCATCACTGGTAGACAGGCTCACTGTTCCTCAGGCTGTGACAGGAGGTCACACACTAGGCTGCCAGTTCAACTGAGTTCCCCTGTCCCTATCCCAGTAGGATTGGGATTTGTTGTAATTCTGGGTAATCAGGGTCTGTTTCTTTTTGCTGTGACTTATGTTGATCAAATTTTCGGCTCGTGTGTGTCTCACAGTCCCTTATGCTTAATGATATTTAAGTAAAGGAATGCAAAAATGAAATTAATTCCTTAGTGTTTTTATGGTTTTGTATTGTATTGTATTTATTGTATTTATGGTTTTGTTTGTATTTATTGTCTAAAGAAATAGTTATTTATCAGGAAGCATTGAGGTTTTAGGTTTTCACTCTGCATCCCATGGGGAAACGTGTGCTCAGGGCTAAAGGCTTTTATTTACAATTTTTATCATACAGCAAACAATACACCGAATAGGAGCACGAGGCCAGGATAAATAAGTACTCAAACTTGTCGGGCACTTTTTTCAGGTACTGGATCAACGGTTTTTAAAAGGCTTCTCAACCAACGTCAACACAATGCAGCAGATTCTAGAGGAAGCCAGTCGTTTACTAAAGCTTTTATGGAGAATTTCCCTTCCTACAAATACACCTGTCAACAGCAGTCAGAGCCATCAGGTACAAGAATTTCATATTCTGTGATGTACCCTGCATGTGGGAAAACTGTGGTCAGCATAGTTCTTGTGACCACATTTACTAGGACTAACTAAAAATGAGAATGCAACCACAATACATTTTTCTTTTGCCCAATTAGGGTGAAATGTTGAAGAACGAAATCACAAGACTGAGGAGCAAGTTATCGCAACAAGAGAGACTGCTTACAGGCACTGTTAAACGTCTGCACACCACCAACCAGCTGAAAGAGGGAATGGAGAAAGTCATCATCAGTCAATGTAAGCTATGGAACACAAGCTGCTTTCTCATCTGAGACACTGCATTGATCTGTTCTGAAATGCCATATAAAATGTGTACAGTGTTGCAGAATGTATGTTGTTGTGTTGTGCATTTATTTTCTTTCGGTTCGTGTGGAAAGATATCATTTAAAAGATTTTCAACTTTTTAATTTTTTATCTTATTACATCTGCTGTGTATTTTTTAGTATACACATTTCTCCTCTTCCTCACAAAACCAATATAACAGAAACAGTTTCTTTAGTGAACATGTGTGATAGGGTAGTCAGGAGGAATGCCCGTTCCGGTTGATTTATTGATGCGTGTTTTTTTTTTTTTAAAAGCATCATTGTTGCTTGATGTTTTGTTAGAGAAATACATTTTTAACCTTTCTGGAGAGTATAGGTTGGCTGGCATAGCTGATGTTTTAAAGCTGAAATACTCAAAAACAGAACCTTAGATGTTCATTTTTTTCTTGCAGTGTCTCTGACCCATGGTGTACTGAAGAAAGCTAGAGGCAACTTAGAGGTGAGTTACAATAAAACTAAACTTTTAGATTTATCGTTTGATACTTTTTTGTAATTTTCTCTGTCAATTTAAGAAACCTTGATGTGCTCATGTGTGACAGACATACATATTAAAGGAATATTTTAATTTACTCTTGTAAGCAAAAAAAAAGTAAGCAAATTGCGTAAAGGTATTAGTCTTCTAGAACTATCTTTTAATAATTTTAATATTTCTGTGGAAACCAAATAATAATGGATAGATACCTCTGAATTTTCATTTTAACAAAATACTCAAAGATGAAGGCAACACATTTTTCATGTTTAGTGACGTATCAGCTCTTTCATTCAGTCTTTCAAATTCCTTCGGGAATTTACTCCCAGATGAAGACACACTTTAGCTCCCCAGGAAACGTCTGCTTTAAGTTACTCATCTTTTTTACACTCTTTATATTCCAATGTCTCGGACTTCCTCCTATTAATAGTGCATGGGCTTTCCTAATCCCATACCCTACCAATCTAACCACTTTCAGCCTCTTTACTCTAATGGTGTGCTTTTTGATTTGCTTTCTTGTTATGTCTCACTGCAACTATTGTCCTTTATTTGAGCAATTGCAGACAAATTATTTCACACTTTTTGGCCTTAAAGGCTTGCCAGGACCAACTGAAGGTCAGTTTATTTCAATGAGGATGCTTTTGGATTCTCTAATGCATGTTTATTTAATGCGTAATGCATTAAATAATATTATCCAGGGATGCATTTGGCTATGGCCAGTTCGAGAATGTGTGTTGTTTAATCTGAACTGTGAGACCTTTTATCTTTTTGTACAAAGAATGCTACAGGCGTGGTAGCATTTCAAATGGAATGGCATGGCTGTCTCCCAGTACGCACGTTGGTTGTGTCTTTGTAAGATAATGTGCATTCCATTTCTACCTCACAGTACAGGGTAGTTTTAGGACAACAGTGAGGATTGTGGAGCATCATTGTGAAAGTCTCTTGTACAAGTGCAAAGCATGTGCTTTCAGGACATATTAGAAGCTGGTGGAAATGCGCTTCTGTGCCCCACATCATGATACCTGTCCCAGTCTCAGCTGAAGGCTAGATGAGATGGGTCTGATATTTCAAGACCTTGTATAATACATGCCCTCCTCCTCCTATAAGAGCCGCAACAGGTTCTTCATTGCAGGTTCCTAATATTTTGGTTAGAGAGTATAAAGTCAGAACAGCAACCTGCTCTTTAATTTCTTCAATTAAAAATGCTCATTTTGAGCAGTTTTTTTTACTACTGCTGTAATGTGTTCTGTTTCTGCCTGCCATTTCTCTATTTAGAAGGATTATAACAAATCCAAAACAGCTGTTTTAAAATTACCCTGTACTGCATATATTGTAGCTCAGAATTCTTTTGTGCATTGGGTTTCCTAACTTGTGTTAGGAACAAATAACTTGTTTTATTTGTGCTAAAATAAAACAGTGTCCTAGGCAGAAGTTATACAGTAGCTTTGTAACATGTCTTATAATGAATGAATATACATTTTCTCTCAACAGATTCATCCCATGGAGGAAGTCCCAGTCCATGGGAACTAAACCAGAGGACAAACACAGACATGTTCCAGTGTTTCTACAGACACAATGAAGCATCGGACGAGCAGCACAGTGAAATTTCTTCACTTTGTAGCTATTAAAAGCTTTGTCCAATGTAATTCATCCAAAAACTTGCATCTCTGCAATTTTATTTTATTATACCCTTTTATCATTTTTACGGTACGCTTTATAAGATTTCTTTGGGAGATTGCACTATTTCCTAGGTTTGTGATAACCTGTCAAGCGAAATTTTAGTCACACAATACTGTATAGAAAATGTACATATTGCAGTTGTTTTAAATTTCTTAGGCTGGAAAAAAAAAGTATAGTTTTAAGTGTTCGGCTAACGTTTTTATAGAAAGAAACTTTGCACTGCCTTGTTTTTATCATGAAGCTGTTGAATTTCAGAAATGAAAATATTTGAATTGTTACTTAAAAAGCATACCTCTTTATTGTTAATGTTTAATGTTGATTTGTGTATCTAGAACTGTTAAAGAGCTGTTGAAAAGTATGAAAAATGTGTACACAGAGACATTAAACAAAAGCACAGCTTGAAACATGCTGTCAGAATCATTTAGATATTCTATTGCTATGATACAAGTTTTAACTGGTATCTGATGGTGGGTAAGAAAAGAATTCTATAATTGTTCCAAAATCTAGTTAGGTGGGCACCTTAGTGTATGATGCTTTCATATTTTCTTTTGATTTAATCAGATTATCAAACATAAAGGAAATCAGGTAGGAAATGTTGTCTCTAAGAAAAGACGACATGCGTTTTAAGCAAAATATTGTAGGAAACTTAAAATGAGACACAGTTTGAAAAGCAAAACCTAGATTTTACAAGAAATTTAAATTAGTTCGGTTCTTCCTCATTATATTATACATTATATTGCATGTAGTCACCAGGAAGAAAGAAATATATTTTGAGACTAAAGATTTTGATCTAAACTACATAATTCAGTTACAGATACTTATTAAACAATTCAGATTTGTTAGGCAGTTACAGCATTTTAGCCATGTTTAAATACTATCATCTGATTTTGTTTTGTTAACTTGTTTAGTTTCTGAAAAGAAGATGTAGTCCTATTAATCATATGCATATAAATATGTTTATTTTTTCTCATATACATGGATAGAATTTTAATTACATTTTCTGCAGAAAATTAAACGTCAATATATTGCTTTCTAGTTAAACTGATTTCTAGTTTTGAGAACTCTCCTTAAATACTGGAAACAGGTGTTAAAAGGAAAAAATAAATTTGATTTGTTGACAAAATAATCTGAGGGGTACCACAGAGTAAACAAGGATCCCATTTAAGATAGGGACCCCTAAACCTGCTGGTTTTCATCCTATTTAATCTGCAATTGCTTAATTGGAACTTTTTAAGATTTTCTTCTGCTCCAATGTTGATAGTAAGTTACTTATGTCACAGTTCAAAGGAAATCTGTAACATGAGCTGGACAGCTTGAAAAATGATTCATGAGTTTATTTGATTCAAAAATGAATCAAATGAGTTTAACTGAGACTTCAGTCATCTACCAGAGCTCGAAGACCAGGCGTGTAAAGCACCTGTCAGTGCACAAATGCTGTACAGCAGTATCCATTTACAACATCCAGAAAGAAAGCCACACTCTGAAGAACGCTAAGCTATTTCTAGCAAAAATGGAACAGAAAAACAAGCAATTACTAGATCACAAAATCAGAGTTTTCCCATAGATTTCTGATCAAAGTGAAGGGAGGAGTGATCACGCACCCTTTGAATGACGGCAAAGAAATCTGAAATATGTCCTCAGAGCATCTTTTTATAGGAGGTCCTTGATCTGCGGAAGAAGACGTTGACTGTAACTGGGGGCTTCAGGGAGAAAGTATGTTGTAAATTTCCGAGTCTACTGTACATGTCGGTCAGTGACGGCGTCCTTCGTTTTCAATACTTGATGCTGCCTCTTCCACTTTCCTGAGCAGTCTATCTGGTGAGTGCAAAAGTTCAGTCACAATGTGTTTCGGCAGTTCCAGCAGCATCCCTGTAAAATATATAATTTTAGTTTACGTGTTTTTTCCCCCCACATTCAGAGTCTATGTTGAATCTGAAGACAGATTCT